GTGCAAGATGGCGAAGAGAAGAGAAAATATTTTCCCCAGTAAGTCACCCAAAATGACCCATCCCTTCAAGTGCAAATGTCCAGCAAACAGGCTGAGCCTGAAGCAGGGCCACTGAGGTCTGAAAGCTTGCCATAAGTCTAAGACACTTTCTTGTGGGGAACCACAGCAAGGGGGTGAAGAGGGCCAGGCAAGTCTGGGAATAGAGGAGCAACATCCAAGCAGAACTCAAGAGAATGGCCTCCACTGTCGCAGCAGCACCACGGTGCAACCTGGAGAACCCAGAGCACACCCGCCTTCCGCGTCACGTGTCTCCGCCTGCCCCAGGGGCTCAGCCTGCCCCTGGCTCCAGTACCTAGTCCTGAGCAGGGAACATGGTGCCGCCCGTCATAAGAACTTATGGCATGTTAGATTCCTGAGCTGACTTGACCCTCCAGGTAGTTTTATATGTACTTTCTTTTCTCCTTTTGCATGAAGGTGCTGATGGTGCCAAAAATCCCACACACCTTGTTGTTTGGTAAGACAGCCAATAAGCTGTTTGGAAGGGTGTCAGGTGATAGGTAAAACACTTAACACTAATTGCATTACTTAGGACTGAATACTTTGAAATTGTGCCAGTGGATAAAGATACTCAGTTACAAAGAGGTGTGATGTTAAGAGTGTACTGAAGATGAGGAAAGTTCTGGCAGAAGGGGCTGAAAATAATGGTTTGGCATGTGATTTGAAGCTTGGCCTGCTTATTTAAAAGACCCCTTCAAGTTATTAAAGCAGAACGCTTTGATTTTCCAGATAGCACTTCCATGGGTGTATGTTGTGGGATTCTGTTTCCCTGGGAATGGCGCTTTATTTCCAGTGAGGATCCTGAGGAATTTCTAGGACACTGTTAGCTTTAACACTGCATTGTCTCTTCCTAAGAACTGCAGGCCGTAGTGGGCAAGCAGGGCTGTGATTTTGCTAACAGGCATTCTGGAAATCTAAAGGTGAGTATGGAATGTATCTGAAGTGGGGTTCAACGTGGGGTCCTTTTAGCACTTTTTAGGACCAGAGCTGTTGGTTCTGCTGTGGAGACAGTAATGGTGTGGGTTTTCTAAATGCCCCATCTTAGTGGTCTACTTGGTTCTGAATTTTGAGGAAGTGAGTCCTGGGCCTGTCTGCCCAAGTATATGATTTTACTAAAAGGAGTCTCTAGTTTGGAGAAAGAAGAGTTTATCATCAGTTTAATCTCTTTGGCAGGAGGTGTGAAAGAGAATATGATAGGACTTTTTTTTTTGGATTTATGTTTATTTGCTTATGCATAGAAAAACTGGGGTGCAGGCCAGAGATGGGGGCTGAGAGGATTCACCAGAGACAGAGTGGGGAGCAGAACAGGTGGAGCTATTCAAACCCACTGCTGAGGGGAGCAGCGGGCGAGCAAGGAGAGATCTTGCTCGCCATGTGGGTCAGCTCCCTGGTGGGAATCAAACTCATGTAGTCATGCTGCAGTGGCTGGCGATAGCTTGCTTGATAGCAAGCACTGAGACTTAACCCCTGTGCCACCAGGGACTCGCAGGATAGGATTTTTTTAAATGTTTTTTTTTTTTTTGAATAAAGAATTTGGCTTTACTTGGAGAACCTGTTGGAGTAATTGTTTATGTATTTGTCTTGTGTTTTTTTCTGTTTTAAAAGTTATTTGCTTATTTTACACCATTTAAAGGGTGGAGGAGAAAAAAAAGGGGATAACCCAGATATAATCCTATCACAAGTAGGTAACCGTGTTGATGTTTCCGTGTATGGGACAGATAGCCTATTCTAGTGTGCATATATTATTACTGAAGAAGGTGACACAGTGTGGGACTCAAAAGCATTGACTTTCAAAGCCCCCAACTGTTTTGAGTTTGAATGCTGGCTTGATCACTGATAGCTGTGTGATCTCTGATAAATTCTTGACCTTCCAGTGCCGTGTGTGTCTGTGTGTGTGTCTCTGTGTGTGTGTCTTCTACCCTTTATTTCATCAAGGTGGTTCTTATTAGCATAATAAAAAGCACCCTGTACTTTGTTAGTAGCATCCAGTCTTGCACCATTAAGAACATTAAGTATGATGCTAAATATAAGTTTCTTGTAAATGCTCTTTATCAAGTTGTGGAAGTTCCTTTCTGTTCCTACTTTTCTGTGTGCTTTTATTTTAAGTCAATATTGAATTTTGGGGGAAATTTTTTTTTAATCAATATCATGTGATTTTTTTGGGGGGCCTAATATGGTGGGTCACATTGATTTTCAAATACTGAATGAGTCCCGCATGCCTAGATCAAATCCCACATGGTCACTTTATGAAGCTGTGCATATTGCTAAATACTTATTTGTTAAGAAAATTAAGGGTCTGTTCAGGATTTGGTGTTTCTGGTCAGGAGGCGTATTGATCTGCCTTGCAGCTTTTTACCGGGCTGTTTCAGTCTGGCGTTGAGTAGTGGCTTCATAACACCAATTGGAAGGCTCCATAGACCGGGCGTTAACCCTTGAAATGTCTTCTAGAAGTCTCCAGTGAGATCATCTGGGCCTCAAGCTTTCTGTTTTTGGATTTTTTAAATCACAGATTCTGCTTCCCTCATGGTTATAGGACTGGTCAGGTTATCAATTTCCGATTGGTGAGTTATGATAGTTTGTGCTTTTCAAGGAATCAATACATTTTATTTTCAGATTGTCCAATTTGTGTGTAGAATTGTTGGTAGTTTTCCCTTAGTGGCAGTCTGTGCCATCTTTTACCTTTGTCAGTTTTGCTAGAGACTCAATTTTATTGATTTCAATTAGCTTTTGCCTCAGTGACATTGATTAATGCTGTCACCCTTACTCGTCTGCTTGCTCTGGGGCCATGTTTTCGCTAGGCTCTCAAGAGGGAGCACTTTTGAGGGGTTGAGACTTGACAGTGGAGACCGGCCTCATCCTGTGCTGTAGGGTGTTTCAGCTAGCCACTGATACAGTTTATTCTGCTTATTCCTTAGTAACCAGGGGCCTGAGTTACATTGGGTATTCAAAAAATGTCTATTTGTATCTTTTGCGTCACTGTCATCCCCATGAAACTCCCAGCACCCATGGCCCTGCACCATCGCCTTAGTCCCTTGTGCTCTTCTGCCTTGTTTCGACTCGTCCCTCCTTGCAGAGTCTGATTTCTGGTTGCCTGCTAATTTTGTTGCTTTGATATTGGTCATTAACTTCTTTTTTTCAGTAAGTAGCTAACTTAAAGGTAGGAAATATTCCGCAACTGATTCTGGTCTCAAATTCTCAGAATATTTCTGTTGGACATTAAAGTTGTAGACGTGAAGCCAAGTGTCCTTGTTGGTTCGCAGCTGAGAACTGGAAAACATCTTAGAGCGCAGCTGCGGAGACTGAGGCTCCTGGCTGACCTCCTCTTTGCGGCCTCTCTTCGCACTGAACTTGGGCATTTTGAAAGGTGGTGGAAGCACACACAGGGACAGACAGGCAGCCTCTGCCAGTGGCCCTGGACAGAGCAAGCGGGCCTGCCGCGAACGGCCTGCTCCCCAGCCTAATGGAAACGTTTCCAGGGCTAGAGTGCCGGGCCCCACCTGGCCTTTTCCTCATCTGGAGTCATCACTGCACCGCCCCTCTCCATGTCCTGGGGCTTTGACTTGGGTCCTTTGTCTCTCATTTCTGCATTATCTGCCAGCACCCCTCACCCTCCAGGTCTTGGGCCTCAGTAATTCCCTAAGGGCCTGCATGCCGACTGAGCAGTTAGGCTCTGGCCTAAGCCAGAGGACAGGAAGTGCTGGGGCTGCCTCCGGACAGTGCTGATGGAAATATGATTTTTGACAGCAAAGTCCAAACAGCTTTACCTGCAGAAGTGCTACTTCATTGTTGATTCACAGCCTGTCAGGAGAGCTTAGGCAGAATCCCTGGTTGTTTATTGAAACATAAATGGTCTCAGTGTGAGCTGTGAGGGACTCTGCCCTCCTGAAGTTGGCAGAAAATTGGATAGTTGTGATCCTGGTTGGTGCTGGAGAGCCACTGTCATCCTCCTGGATGCTAAAGAGCCGCTCCCCAGTTTCTCATGGGGAACAAGTGTGGCGCAACCGAAACCACTGCAGTGGCCACTCTCACCTGTTCTCATCCCACAGCTCGGTGGCAGCGGGGGGCAGGGGGCCCTCCCTGCAGTCCCTGTGGCAGTTCTGAACTGCAGGTAGGGGATGGGGGGTGGTCTCGGTCTTGGTCCCAGTGCAGATGCCTTCCTAAGCCTCTTGTCCTCCCACTTCCAACCCTGCAAGTCCCCTCTGACCACCTTCCTTGTCTGCATTATACTGCTGCTGGGTCTGGCTCATTTCACTCCTTCACCGGCTTTCAGTTGGATAGAATGTGGTGCCTACCCCTTCTGTGCCCCCTGGCTGGGGCATTTCCTCTTGCCTGTGTCCTTCCTCTTCTCAGAAACACACTCAGCCCATGGTGTCTTGGGTCATCTGATGCTCTCGAATGTTTCCGGGAGAGAGCAGGCAGCCTGAGGTATAGTCTCATGACTACTGACAGCATCACCCCTACCCCATAGAAAAGCCAGACTTTCGCCTCAGCTCCCCTCACTGTGCCTTTTCTGCCTCCTGGGTCATCTCCTCTCCCCATGGGCAGAGTCAGAATGGCTCGAGGCTCTCAGCACTGCTTCCTGCTCCAGCGGGGTGCGTGGCAGGGAAGGGGGCTGCTTTGCAGACCTGCCTCGGCTTGTCTTGTGTGGGTCTTGTGTGGGTCTTGTGTGGGTCGGGGAGCTGGCTGACCGGGAAGGAGAGGGTCGCGGTTGCCTCTTGCTCTGCTTCCAGACTAAAGAAGGGTGAGGGCTGTGCCTCAGCTAGGTTTTTATGAGCCCTCCTTTAACTGGGGGAGGAGGACAAGTTTGGGGGTTTCTGGAGGAGACGCAGGAGCTGGCCCTTTGTCTGTGGGCAGTGCCCGTCGCTGCTGTCTGCTCTCTGCTTTCCTGCAGACGGAAGGGAAGGCAGGGCAGCTGCTGAAGGGCACCGAATGTGAGCTTTAAGAACTGCCCACCGTGGCTAGCTTTCCTGAATGTCCCTCTGCATGGAAAGCCGGGGTGTCGTTTCTGCACTGTGTGTCTCAGTCCAGTTTCAGGTGGGTCTGATTTTTCTGGTTTCGTTACTCTTCTGTATGAATATCAGAAACTGCTTTGAAGACAAGTCCTCCAAATTGTTGATGTCTTTGTTGCTTTCTGCATTCTGTAGCTCCTCTTTGCCTCTTGCTGAATTCAGACACCGAGGCTGGCTGCTACCCTTTGGGCAGGACAGTCGGGAGGGCCCGGGACAGTGTCTGCACCCAGCAACCACGCAGACACTTGTTATTCCCTGGGGGCGGGGCAGCTGGTGAAGACCATCCCTTCCCTTGCAGCCCCTATAATCCTGGTACCTGTGGTTGATCGAAAGGGAGAAATAGACTTCTGGAACTTTCTATGGCCTTTGTTACCTCACAGAAACCGAGACCTTTAAAGCTCAGCTTGTTTTTTGGGTGATTTGGGACTGCTTTATCGAGATAGGATTCACATGCCAGAGTTCCTTGTTTTTTGTTTGTTTTTTCTCTCCAGTAATATAATAGTTTAACATCATTTTGTGCCTTTTTCCATCTCAGTTGTCATCACCAAATCACCCGTGTGCCATCACCATAGTCCAGTGCACTTCGCCTCCCCCTCCCCCCATTTTTGATCCCGTTCCCCACTACACCCCGGTAAAATGTCTCTGGTATGTAGTTGTTCGTCATTATTATTTTCTCCCCTGATCCCTTCCGCTCCTGCTATGAGTGACACCATCTGGTATTCTTCCTTTTCTTTCTGGCTTATCTCACTAAGCATGATCCCTTCCATCCAGAGTTCCCTTGTTTAAACTAGTCAATATCTTTCAGAATGCTCAGAGTGTGCGACTGTCCCTGCAGTCAGTTTTAGAACATTTTCATCACTCTGGAAACTACCACCGCTTTAGGCCCTGGCAAGCACTAATCTGCTCTTTGTCTCGAGCATTTGCCTTTTTGGCCACCTCAGGTGCTCAGAACTGTAGTGTAACATGTGACCCTTCGAGCCTGACTTCTTTTGCTCAGCATGATGTCTCCCAGCAGCCCCCGCGCGGTGGTCTGTGTCATGCGTTTAGCCATTTATAACTGGAGGCATTTGGGTGGTTTTCCCTTTTGGCAGCTTGGGGGTTGTGTGATGATTTATCCTCTTGCAGCTGTTGTGAATGAAATGGCACGTGGGAATGAACACCAAGCTGTGAGGTAAGGACAGGCCATGGGCCACCTGCTAGACCTTCCCTTTAATCCCTGGGAGTTATGAGCCTTCTGAATGTCTGGGAAGTTGTCTGACACACACACTTTGTTAAAAATTTAACAAATTTAAATTAGTGTTATAATTTAAAATTTCAGCCTTAAGCTCTTTTTGATTGTGAAATATGAAGGTGTTCTCTGGCCCTTGGGCAACTGGCTGGCCTGCGTGAGAGGTAGCTGGGGAGGAAAGCACGTGCTGTTTTCTTACGCTCAGGTTGTGGCTAGGGCCGTGGTCCCCCAGAACACATGGGCTCATTTTAACTTGAAAACCCTGAGAATTTAGTGTGCACTGCTGTGGGTTGACCAGTGCCTACCTCGTGAAGCCACCACCACACTTGCAAGTCAGCTGGTCTGATGTTTCAGGCAGATAACCTGAAGGCCTTCGGCCTGTATTTGTGCCCAATTTCCTTTTCTTCCTCTTCCAGGTTTAGGGGTCTAGCAGGAAAACCAGGAAGCTGGTTTGTGTGTGAAGGGAACTTACATGAGGCCCTTTAGGTTCTCTGTCATTGCAGCCTTGGGTTTTGGGGTAAGGATACCCATGTTTCTGCCTCCTCTTGGCAGGGAGCTACACATGTATCTGCTTCCAGTCAACTTCCAGGCCATCCTCCTAACCAGAGTGCAGATCTCAGCAATGGGGCAGGACGGAGGAGGGAGTGGCTTGCACCCTGGGGAAATAGGGGTAGGGCACACCAGCCTGAGAGGGTGGAGAATGGAGGGTGACTTAGGGCCTTGGGGCTCTAGAAAGGTTCTGGCGTGTGAGGTATAAGCTGGGCTGGTGGAAGGCTGGGCTTTGAGCCTAGCTACTTGGGCAGAGGACATTGGTGGGAATATGAACCACTCCTTGGAACTTGAATAGCTGTAGTCTTCTGTGGGAGAATGACTGGGGGACAAAATAATGTGGAGCAGGGGCTCGATGGCGTGTGAATCTCCAGCCTGCCGAGAGATGTTCTTGGCAAGAACAGATTTCATCTGCTGCTGCCCTAAGCCTGGTGCTGCGTGATGTGAGCCAGCCCAGAAAGGAATGTGCCTGCTGCATCCCCCCAGTCCGGGAGGAGGCTGCTGCTGTTCCCAGGGCGAGACTGGGAGCCCAACGAAACCCACACTCCCACGTCCTGACTATTCCTTGCTTGAAGTTGAAAATGACCTAAAGGTGTTGGGCAAGCCGAGGCCACCGGTTGGGAGAGTCAGGCATTTCTAGAGGTGTGGAAATTGCTTATCCCCTCAGGGTAACGGAACCTCTGTGGTTGGAATTCACTTTTTCTGGGAGGTTACTGTACTGCACTGCACTCTTACAGCCAGGCATAGTTAGAGGGTTTACCTGCCTTTTCGCCAAGGGGCCTGGCACCCTATTTTTCAGCATGAACTCCCCAATTTGGGCTAGTAAGGGCTGCCCACCTTGTACCAGGCCCTGTGGGGTGGAGGGAACTAGGGCTGTGTGGGTGCGGGTTCTTTATAGGAACCCTGCAAAATAGTGTCCCTTTTGGTGGTTGAGGAGATTAGGTCTATGGGTGAAGGTGGTCTGGCTAGTGAGTTGGGGATGGGCAGAGAGGCTGTGGTGGGGCATTTGTGGGAGAAGCTTAGAGGGAGGGGTTCATAGGAGATCTTAGGTTGATGGGAGGGAGGAGGGGAATCCAGCCTACGTTTGGTGTTTCAGTTCGGATTTTGATTGGGAGAGCAGTTGGACAGGAGGCAGTTTGAGCTGAGTGCTGGTGTCAGCCACCTGGAGCTGATGCTCAGTAAAAGGGTGAGACTCCCCAGCGAGGCCTGGAAACCGATCCCACTGCTCATGATGGTGGCGGTGGGGGGTGAACTTAGGCCTTCATCCTCTCTCTCCCTTTCCTTTTGTTCTTCCCTTCTGGCAGTAGGGCATTTAATTTGTACCAGCCCATGAAGTTGGTTCTTTTCAAACTATTGAATAAACACACAGCAGGCAGGCAGCTGTCTGGAAACAGACCTTGAGTTGCAGGTGGATGGAAGGGCATACTTGGTGACCACTTTGGAAGACTCTGAAGTGATGATACACACGTTGCACATCGTTCTTGCCTGGCCAGCTTTCTCAGAACCTTCGCCAAATGCTTTATTAGCCTATTTCGGATCACCACGTCTACTTAGAAGCCAGGCAGTTATTAGGTCACATAACATTTGAGTCTACTTGCACATGCTGTGATTTGTGGACACTGTCTCATGTGGCTAAACTCGGCTCTGCACTGACCCCAGGCTCATTTCCCTGCGTGTTAGTGGCTAGTCATTCTCCAGGGATGCTACACCCACCTCCCTGATCCTTCTGGGCAGCTAGAGTATGGAGGTTTTTTTTTTTTTTTTAACCAGGGCGAGGAGATAACCCTGCTCACATTTTTAGTGAGTATGACTGGAATTGCCAAGGTGCTGTGAGGGACAAACAGTCCTTCACACCATATTGCCAGCTTCACTCGAAGAGGGAGCGTGGTAGAACAGGGGCCGCATTGTGTGCTCCTTACTGGGCATGCGCGAAAGTTGAGCTTGGCTACTCCAGAGTGCCTCCTGGGCATGCCATGGGTTTGGGCTTCATTTGGTTGAACATTTTCTATACCTTTTTGGTAATTAGTTGGAGATAGTGGAGGGGGAGTTCTTTTCTTTTTTTTTTAATGGCTTAGGTCAGTGTTTTTTTTTTTTTAAAGATTTATTTGTGCATACAGAACTGGGGTACAGGCCAGAGGCTCAAGGGCGGCGAGAGGCCTCACCAGAGACAGAGTGAGGAACAAAACAGGCAGATGGACAAAGTACACTGCTGAGGGGAGCAGCGGGCGGGTCAGGAGAGGTCTGCCACGCCATGGGGTCACCTCCGGGGCAGGCGGGAATCGAACTCATGCGGAAGCGGCTTTAGATTCTCAGTGCTGTGCTTTAACCCGCTGCGCCACCAGGGAGGGCCAGCTTAGGTCAGTGGTTCTTAACTGAGGCTCCATGGAAATCCCCAGAAAGCGTTGAAAAATATTAATACCAGGGTCTCACCCCCAGGTTTTTATTTAATTGGTCTAAGATGTGGCATCCGAATTTGACACACTTCCCGGGTATTATAACATGCAGGTAGGATTGAAAACCACTCGTTTAGATATTCTGGAAAATGCAAAGATACAGTAATAAGGATGATCCATTTAGCTGAATCCAAAAAATTGCATTTATCCACAGCATGGAGCACCTGAGAGCTAGATGGCAAGCAAGCCACTGTGTGAAGCTTGATGGAACTGAATCTCATGTCTGTACCTTGATTCTGGAAAAAAAGGGGGGGTTGTGGGGGCTGGGCACTGTTCCAGCTACAGTGCCCCTTTCTGCTGTCTTTACCCAAAGGGCTGAGGCTAGTCCCCAGGGCAGGAGAAGGCAAATAGAAAAGTGCAGTGGCCACTTGGCAAAGTGGCACGGCCCCTGAGTCCCAGCAGTGCTGACACTCGGTACCCACGGGACTATGTGGCAGCGGCAGCCAGCAAAATCCTGCGGACCTGAACTGGCTGGAACGTGTAAGTCCACAGTGTAGAAGTAACACTCCAGATTGGACTCAGATTGCATTTCCTCTGCGCTGTATTTTTCTTCGGTTTGAAACCTGGCCAGAGGGGCCTCCATGAGCTCCCCCGGTGCCTGTGTGTCTGTTGGAAAAGGGCGGAGGGCCCGCGGTGCCGTGCTGCGCTGGCTTGGCCAGCAGTCAAGGGCTGTGGTTGTCAGACAGACACCCCATCTCCCTGGCCCAAGGGACAGAGTTTGTCCCGGCTCAGCCTCAGGGCTGAGGCCCTTCAGTGCACAGCCAGCACGGGGGTCTGTGCTCCAGGATGTGCCCACCGTGCCCCGTCCTGACGCCGTTTACCCAGAGTGCTGAGTTGTTTATGTACTTCAACCCAAGCTGTGTCCTGGCCAGGATGGGCTTGAATGCTGCCACAGGCTTTCCTGTTGGAGTCATCAGTGGGGGCACACGCTCCTATCACCCTACAGTTCCGTCAGGTGGTGGCTAAGCCCCACCAGCCTCATCGGCAAACATCCAGCAAGGTCAGTCCTTTTATCAAGGTCAAATCAGAATTTTTCTAGGGCCGGGATTTCCATCTTAAAACACGGCTCTGGGGTTAAGGCTTCCCCCTTTTAATGCCCTGAAGCCAGTGCCAGAATATAGCAAGGCCAGGCAGATGATTTTCTGCCAAGTGAGTTTTGCAGCGCACACTTGTGCTGGGATGAGCCAGCTGCTAGTGAGACAGGGTCCTGCGGCATGACTTGTGTGTGTGCCTTCTACCTCGCCTACTGGGGCTCTTGCGTGGAGGTGGTCTTAGGTTCATGTGGGCTGTCCATCGGACTCGGCCCTCTGCTGGCGCAGGGCCTGGAGTTTGCAGCTGCTCAGCGTCTTCCTCCCTGACCAGCTGGGCTCCACCTTCCCAGTTCTTGAGGGGCCCTTCCTTTGCTAGTTTTACTGCGGGGCTGCAGTCGCTTTATTTCTAGCGGCTTCCTCCATGACTCGCTGGCTCTGCCTTCTCGTGTTGGGGGCTTGGGAGTAAACTGTCTCCGGGCCTTGTCTGAATGCAGGCTGTCGGCGCCTGTTGTGTTGTCTAGCTGCTCTGTGTTCGGGGACTCTGAAGAGTCACAGCAAAGGGTTCAGGGCCAAGCGCCCCGAGGACTTCAGGTCTTGCAGCCCTGCCGGCCCAGTACTCCTTGGCTGTGGCTGTCAGCACTCCAGCTACTACCTCTGCTTTCTTGTCACCTGCTGCTCTTTTTCCCTGGGGTGCTCTCTTTTTTCTTTTTTAAAATTTATTTATTGATGAATACAGAACTGGGGTACAGGCCAGAGGTGTGGGGGTGTGAGAGGCTTCACCAGAGACAAAGTGGGGGGAAGAACAGGCAGATCAATGAAGTACGCCGCTGAGGAGAGCAGCGGGTGAGACAGGAGAGGTCTGCTGTGCCCTGTAGGTCAGCTCCGAGGCAGGGATCGAACTCGTGCTACATTAGCTGGCGATACCTTGATAGTGCTGTCTTTAGCCCCTGCCCCACCAGGGACACCCTTCTCCAGTGTCCCTTCTGAGCACACCTGTCTTTAGACTTAGGACCTGCCTGGATAGTCCAAAATGACCCCTTTCTAAAGCCTTCTTGCCTGATGACATCTGTAGTACCCCTCTCCTGAATAAGGGCATCTCCCCACCCCATGTTCTGGGTGGTGGGATGTGGACATGCTTTCTTGGGGGGGGGGCGCCACTCCATCCACTCCATGGAAAACAGGGAACCTTTTTTTTAAATGGTGATGAACCACATTTCTTAAGGTCTCCAGCAGCCCCAGAATTGAGGCCGTCCTGTGGTCCAGCGGCGGCCTTCACTCTCACTGTGCGTGGGGGACATCTAGGAAGCTGGTTCCCGTGTCACCGCAGAGGGACTTTCAGTGCCAGTCTTGGCCTTCCTTAGGCAGTAGGCAGGCTTGAGTGCCACTGTGGTCAGCTGTGGGTCTTGGCTTCTTCGGTCTGGCTTTAGGGTACTGGGGTGCTTTCATGAGCCCTGGCAGCCCTTTCGCCGGCCATGCGGTGGGGCAGGCTTTGACTCATCTGGCTCTGCAGCCTTGTAGCTGTCGCTAGAGAATGATGCGTTGCAGTTGCCTTCCCTCTCGCCATCCTAATGTTGGAGGTTTTGCACAAGTCTGATTTCTGATTTCAGCCTCTAAAGCTGCTCCTGAAGCCTACCTGAGGATGCCAAAGCTCCTCTTTAAGGGAGGTTGAGTTCTGGACTAAGGCGGGGTCACAGTGCCTAGTTGGTTTTGTGGGTGCAAGTTTGTCCAGTTCCTATCATCGAGCAATCTGCTGCTGGGCGGCCCCGTTTTTTCTTCACTGATGCAAGCCACCAGTGGGGGGTGGGGTGGGGTGGGGGGGTACTGTGCAGCACCTGGAGCTTCAGGCTAAAATTTAGAAGTGATTGGTACCAGCCATCACCAGAGGGTGGACTGCTTTCTGGTATACTCTGTCCTCCCTGATGAGCGCTAAAGCAGAACCTCATCACATTCACATCTCTGACTTCTGGTTAGGCTGAACATCTTGTCGTCAGGTGGACTTCTGTTTGACTCCTTGTGCTAGTAGCCTGTAGTTGGTCAGTCGTGTTGTTTGCCCGTTGCTACCTGTGCAGATTTCCTTGTGGGGTCGAGAATGTAGCTCATGGCGAGGGGAGAGTGGTTCTGATGATTGTTGAGATTCTTTAGTAAAGTTCACCCCTGAAACTGCCTCGTTGGCTTTCCTTCTGAATGTGCTTTCCTAATCATCTTGCCTTCTTGTCCTGCTCTCTAGCTGACGGAGAGACCATTCTGAAAGGCCTCCAGTCCATTTTCCAGGAGCAGGGCATGACAGAGTCGGTGCACACCTGGCAGGACCATGGCTACTTAGCCACCTACATAAACAAAAACGGCAGGTGAGTTGGTCTTCAGTGCACACTGAAGGGGGTACAGACGACAAAGGGCGGGTGTGTTCAGGTACGTCTGTGTACCCGAGGAGGAAATATAGATCTATTTTCTTCCTTTGGCCATATTTAGGAGGGGCTAGAAGTGAGTGCTTTTCACCTCAGAAGCACATTTGAGTCACCTGGGGGGACTGTGCAGCATTTCCTCCTGGGGTACTCTCTCCAGTGGTGGGCGCCACCGGGTCTCAGTATTTGTCCAAAGCCCCCCAGAACCCAGAAGTTCTGGGCAGCATAAAAATTGGCTGGCCACGAGGCAGGGTTGATTAAAACACAGGTTCCTGAGCCCTAGTCCAAGAGTTTAAGTGGTAGGTTTGGCGGACACTGCTGACTCACGGGCGCACACAGTGGCCCCCGGGCTGAGAGCTTAGCTGACGCAGACCTCAGTCAAAGGGTGGGTAGGAAGAGCCTTGAGCAGCTCTCTAGAAAGCTTAGGTGATCCAAGGATTCAAAGTTGTTGGGTTTCTTCTTTTTCTTTCTTTCTTTGTAAAACAGATTATTTATTTATGCACACGAGCTGGGGTACAGGCCAGAGATGCAGGGAGGTGAGAGGATTCACCAGAGACAGAGTGGGGAGCAGAATAGGTGGGTCTACTAAGATACACTGAGGGGAGCAGTGGGTGAGATTTTGAAATGCAAGAGGTGTTTGGAAATTGCTTCCGAAAGCAGAAGAAATACAAATGTACATGTTTAGAACAAAGACATTTCTGCCTTGGGTCCCTCTTTTTCATTCAGCTGAGCCTGTCCCCAGGGAGCCTGACCTGGAGGCTCAGCTGTCCCCTCTCTGGGAGCACTGCTGCCCCACACCCCACTTCTGGTTAACGGCTTCTCATGGGGCTGAGATCATGGTCCTGCGGCCGCTCAACTTCTTGTCTTTTCATTCAGTTTTCTTCCCAGAGGTTAGTACTTGACCTTAGTTCCCAGCGGTCTCTGTTCTGGGCCATTTGCTGCGAGAACTCTGCCAGGAGCAGGGCGCCATTTCTCGAGCCTCCCTTCATGGGCTCCTGGCCTTTGTGCTGTGGGAGGAGGGAACGACCAGCCCACTCGTGTAGATGAACAATGGGGCTTCCCTCTAAGGTGAAAATACACTAGCGGTATGCATTTCACACAACCACCAGCCTTTGTTCTTTAAACAAAACTTATCTTCTGATTTAGTATTTTTGAAGTGTTTTGTTAGCTATATTTATAGCATAGCCCTGTATGTCTGCATGTGTGCGCAAACACACGTAATCAAAATATCTTCAGATAATTAACTCTTGTTGGTGACATACTTGTTTCATCAAACAACGCTGCTGAGGTTCACTAATTCGCGGTCAGAAAACTTTATATGCAAGGAGCCACACAAGGTCGAACACTCTGGCGTTCCTTTTTAAACAGTTCTTAAAATAATCTAAAAGCCCTTTGGGGGGCTGCAGGCTGGACGTGGGTTGGCCAAGTCCGCACCGAGTGAGTTGCGCCGCCACCTGCTGGCAGTCAGAGAAACTTCGCTCAGCGTGGTAGTCCCCTCCCAGCCGTGAAGGTGGGGGCCTGCCAGTCTAAATCCCGCAGCTGCACTGGCTTGGGAAAAGTCAGATGCATGGAGCTTCCTACTTGTTAGGCTCTAGAACCTCTTTTGAAAACCTTAGCATTTGACTCTTTTCTACATTATTGACTTTCTTGCCCAAAGAAAAGCTTCTAACCTGAACGCAGAAGGGAAAAAGCAGCAATCTTTGTTCCTCATTCGGTGGGCCTCTTATTTTTGCTTGAGTCCCGGATGCCATCCCTAACCGTATCTTCCTTTCCTTTGTAGCTTTGCCAACTTGAGAATATACCCACATGGACTGGTGTTGCTGGACCTTCAGAGCTACGAGGGTGATCCGCAAGGCAAAGAAGTTGAAAGTGTTGGTTCCTCACTTTTAATTCCTTGAGGGCTAGGGGATTCAGACATCTGCTTAGTCAAATCAGATTATCTTCATTTAATTACTGATCAGCCAGTTAACTTGATTTGCAGCTTTCCTCACTCCAGATAAGTGATTCTAGAAGAATCTGACATACATAGCCCTCAGTTGTGAGGACCTGCTCTTCCCCTGTCCCTGACTGCTTGAGTGCTGAGTACCGGTTTTACTTTGTATGGGGCACATAACCCGTTCACCAGGATGTCACCTTCACCTTGTCCTGTAACTTTTCCCTTCATGACTTTGTCGGTAACTTCCGCTAAGCTGTGGGTCAGGTCAGCACCGTGCCAGTCAGCTGGTGTGGGCCGGGCCAGGCCTGGAGGCTGAGCAGGGTGTGCAGGGTGGTGGACGGGGGTGTCTGCCAACACCACTGTGCTTCCGTCAACATGGCCTCGACCTCGTGGCCTGTAGCTGAACCATTTCCCTTAGCTTATTCTATAAGCCCATTGATTTCTTTCCTTTTCATTGCAGCTTTTGAACAGAGTAGAAGAAAGAATGAAAGAACTGAGTCAGGACATTGCCGGCCAGGTGAAGCGGTAAGGCCACTCGTCAGCATCCTTTTCTGTCCGCTTCACTGGGGGAGTGATCGGGACTGGAAAAGATCACAGTCGGCTTCTGCTTCTGGCACCCTATTAGACTCCTCACAGTAAGCGACAGTGTATGAGAAAACACACAAATCGGCAAGTGCTGGGTAAAGTGGAACTAAGCCAGAAGTGGGTGCCTGGATCTGGACCTGGACAGAGCAGTTGCCTGCTAGGGAGTTAGGAACCTCCTCTCCCAGCCCTATAAAGAGAAAAGGTTGTCTCTGCTCAGTTCTGAGCCCCATAGAAGAATTAAGCCATTTTAAGTGACCAATGACAAGATAGTGTGATAGAAAATTCACCTCAAAACTATCCTGTAAGCAGACTTTGCTAGGCGCTAGAAACAAGGCTCATCTGACGTAAACCTAAGGAGGGTGCTGACTTCAAAGGACAATGAAGACAGTTCACCTTTCCCTGCCGGGTAGTGTAGCCACTGGTCACAGATGGCTATTTGTAAATTAAGGTAACCAAACAGTTCAATTCCTGGTCTCACCAGCTTCGTGTGAGTCACTAACGGCCAGTGCCTGTCAACTTAGGTAGAGCAGAGACAGCATTTCTGTCACCACAGAGGTATTTGCCAATGGTGTCAGATGGTAAGAGTCTTCCTTGCTAGAAATAGCAGTTTCGACATTTGTTGAGAGAGGCATAGAGTCTTGGAAGGTCCTGGACTTAAGAGTGGGAAGTATGGATGCACGGCTAGGGTTTCTCAGCAGGTTGCTGTTGCCCTGCCTGGTGGGTCCTTACCAAGCCCCTGGGAGTAGACCTGTGCTTTGATCATAAAGGCAGACTCATAGATGCAGAGACACGGAGGACTTTACCATGGTTCCTCCATCATGGACGGGAGTGACCAGAGCACAGTTGATCTAGTTGGTCACTTTCCAGAAGAGGGTATCCCGGTTGGCCAGAGCAAGGATGTTTAAGTACTTCATGGCCCAGCACATGAAGTCTGCTCAGCTGCAGGGCAGGTGTGAGATAACTGGAAGGTGCTTTAGCCTCTGGCAGGGAGGGAAGCAGTACATGGCGCCGTGCACGGCTTGCCCACTTCCATGAAGTGTGCCAGAGCACCTGGACTCGCTTACCCGTCCACACTCGGTTTAGAGGCCCCAGCCTCTTCCTGAGGCAAAACAGCTACGCCCACACCTCTCTCCATAGCTCATCTTTTCCTGCTTGCACTCTGGCTAGTGTTCCTTCGAGAATTGGGAACAGTAGTTGAGGAGAAAGCTCTTTCCCTTAGCCTGGGCCCCGCTGAACCACTGGAGAATGGGCATTGTGTGTTTCCAGTGGGTCTGTGTACACCTGAGCAGTTACCTATGTCTGGGCTGGGGCAGGCTCTTCCCTGAGAGCTGGTGGCTCGATGTGTTGCCTTCATCCAGTGTCATTCCACTCCGCCCACCACCCACCCCGCAGCAGGGGAATAGGCTTCATTCAGAACTGTTGGCCTATTTGTTGGGGGCTGCCTGCTTGGGCCCACACTCTACCCTCACTCCCTGTGGACCATATACTCCAGCAGGTAAACTTGTTCTCCTGAAACATGAAGTGTTTATATCAGGAGCTGTTAGGGTTGAATGACAGTTTATGGGAATCTGCTTGGTAAATCTCAGTGCTTTTTACAGATCCTAGTATTTCTTCAGAGAACACTGTGTCATCTTTGATCAGGTTCAGACCATACTTGTGGGAATAGGAGAGCAGGCAGGGAACTCAGCAGAGCAGGTCACCTGGCCTTTTAGGTGTCTTTGGCTGCTTTGCTGTCAACACCTCTGTGCTCGAGATATGTGACTTGTGCGCAGTGGGTGTGTGCAAGGTCCTCACTTTGTGTCGGGTCAGATTTGCCAGCCTGGTTCCAGCTTTGTCCTTCCCTAGAGCGTAGTGTCCTCTGCTGGTAGTTCCCGGCACATTCATTCTGTAAAAAAGACTGAGCACTTACAGAACAAAAAGAGAAAACCACCCGCTTGCAGCCAATCAAACAATACTTGGTTCAAACCTGGTGTACCGGCTTGTTGGGGAACTGGGTTTGTTGGGCATCCCCACCCGGCTACTTGGTGATTTTAAAGGGAAAAAGTGGCCCTTTGCACATAGAGATGTGATGACTTCTGCTCCAGCTGCGTAATCTTACATGGCACCCACTGCTAGCACACCCATGTTGGGCCCTATATGATACTGGCCACATTACCTGTCAGTAGACTTTTAAAGGGATCATCGGGCAAACTCACGTGGGGGATTTTCTGCAGAAACCGGGCCTGGACTTTGAGATGTCAGCGTCCCAAAATGCACCAGAAAAAACTTACTCTAGATTAATGAATGGAGAAAGCGAGTGTTTAAAAGCAGGCAGCTGTCAGGCACGGACTGTGGATTCTGTGCTAGGTAAAGGCGTTAGAGCCGAGTGCAGCACAAACGTGCAGCCGTAGCTGCTTGTGTCCTGAGCCATCAGCCAAAGTGTTTGGGAATGAAGTTGGAGCATGTCACAGGCCATTTTCTTCACCTAAATTTAAAGCATTACAGGAAGGCTTGTAAGAAAAGTCGCTGATACATCTATTGCACTGGTGGCCATGTACAGCCCTGCAAGTGGGCTTCAGGTATGCCGTAGACTGTTCAGGAGTTAGCGGGTCATGCGGCTTGGTGCCCTCTTGAACGCCTGGTCCATTTTTGAGCAGTCTCTCTGGAAGCAACATCCTTCTAAAGCTCCTTCTTGTTTTCTTTTTTCTCCAGACTGCCACCCATAGTTCGTGGAGGGGCTATAGACAGATACTGGCCCACTGCTGACGGCCGCCTGGTTGAGTATGACATTGACGAAGTGGTGTATGATGAAGATTCGCCATATCAGAACATCAAGATCCTGCACTCCAAGCAATTTGGAAATATTCTCATCCTTAGTGGGGATGTCAGTAAGTATTCTATTCCCGCCCGATGGCTCATCAAAGCGATGATGTATTATAGTGCTTTCCTGGTCAATATTCCTCTAGCAGGTTTCTCCAAGTTTATCCAGGAGGTTTTTTTTTTTTTTTTTGCCTTTTTAAATGAACAGTTGTGTCTTTAACCTGTGCATTATCTGGGCCTTCATGCTTTATTAGCAGAGGCATGAAAGCTTTGTCTTAACATTTAGTTTCTAAATGATTTGAAGTGATTTCTGGGTTTTTTGGATGGTACACTAAAAAGGAAATATAGTTACTTAGTGTTTAAAGAAAATTATTTTTTGTTGTGGAAAATTTCAAACCTGAGAAGACAAAAATCATATGACGAAACAATGTGTATTTACCATCGAGCGTCAGCCATTATCACGTCCTGGCCGATCTTGTTTTCTGTGAGCTCTAGTCTACTTTGTCTCACTCATTTTAAAGCAATTTTCAAAGTTGAGTGACTTCATCTAGAAAAATGTAATCGCTTTCAATTTCTGAGCATATTAGAATTTGTATAATATTCTTCGCACTGATAGTGTGTGTGTGTTTAAATAATAATAGGTTTTGAATTAGTAGGGTTGATAAAAATTCTGCAAATCAAAAAAAAACATACCTTCACATATTTGATGAAATTTTTAAAGATTTTAGGGTAGATTCTATTATTTTCTAATGAGTCAGGTAGTGTGTGGGCTTGGGTGGACTCACCATTTTGGATCTTCTCCTCAGATTTGGCAGAGAGCGATTTGGCGTATACCCGGGCCATCATGGGCAGTGGCAAAGAAGATTACACTGGCAAAGACGTCCTGATTCTGGGCGGTGGAGACGGGGGCATCTTATGTGAAATAGTCAAACTGAAACCAAAGATGGTCACCATGGTAGAGATATCCTTTGTCTGCTCCAGATGCTCCCTGGGATGCTCTTGTTTTCTTCCTCTTCAGTCTGAAGAGACTGTTGGGCGAGTCTGTGTTAGGCGAGGCAGATGTTATAAACAGTTGAGTTTCATACTACTAGTGGCCTTTCTTTATGACCACCACAAGGAAACAGCGATCATCTAGTTGGAAATTAGAAGAGCAGTGAGCTGGCACGCCTCAGACATGTTGTCCGTCAGCTCTTGCTGCCAGTCAATTCTTCGTGTGTGTCATTGGTGCAAGAAAATGTTCTCAATTGAAAAAACAATCTTGTGGTGGCCCAATGAATATTCTAAAACTGGTTTGTGTTAGCCTTTCATTTAAAGTATTAACTGCTTGAGAATTCTTTGGTTACATCTAGATTCAGGTAAGTTTTTCCTTAACCTGTTGGGAACATTGACCAAATGGTGATTGATGGATGTAAGAAATACATGCGAAAAACATGTGGCGACGTCTTAGACAATCTTAAAGGAGACTGCTATCAGGTAATTATTTTCCAGATAATTTCATGTTGAAGTCCACTGATAATGTAATTGATATAATGGTATTCGTGGGAACTGTACTTCCTTGAAAGCAGCTTTTTTTTTTCTTTTTTTTTTTTTTATTAAAAAGTTTATTTTTACATCATTTTTCACATTTTTTTTTTCATCTCAATTGTAATCCCCACGGGTTTCCCATCACCAAATCACCCCTGTGCCACCACCATAGTCCCGTGCATTTCCCTCCCTTCCTCCCCCCGTTTTTGATCCCATTCCCCACTCCACCCCCACAGAATGTCTCTGGTCTATGGTTGTTCATTATTTTTGTTATTTTCTCGCCTGGTCCATTATACTCCTGCTATGAGTGAAACCATCCGGTATTTTTCTTTCTCTTTCTGGCTTATCTCACTCAGCATGATCTTTTCCAGCTCCATCCAAGTTGCTGCAAAAGACATGTGTTTCTCTTTTTTGGTTGCTGAGTAATATTCCATTGTATATATGTACCACATCTTTCTAATCCAGTCATCTACTTTTGGGCATTTGGGCTGAAAGCAGCTTTTTAATAGGTAAGTATAACGGAGAAAATACTATGTGTAGGTAAGAAAATAAATAGATCTTCTTGGGCCCTCCCTGGTGGCACAGCAGGTTAAAGTGCAGCACTGTGAAGCTGTCTGCAGCCACTGCAGCACGAGTTCAATACCCAGCCAGGGAGCTGACCCCATATGGCATAGTAGACCTCTCCTGACCTGCCCACTGCTCCCCTCAGCAGTGTACTTCAGTAGAATTGCCTGTTCTGCTCCTCACTCTGTCTTGGTAAATCCTCTCACCCCACCGCATCTCTGGGCTGTATCACAGTTCTTGTATGCATAAATAAGTAAATCTTAAAGAAAAAAAAAAGAAATAGATCTTCTTCTAGGGGAGGAAAATTAATTTTCACTTTACCTTCTATTTCTTGACTGAGACTTTGTAAGAAGAGAGATTAGCTAGAGAAACCATTTTATTCACATGTACATTATTAATATGTATGCTTCATATCTACATGGGAGATCCTCAGAGAAAAATGAGTAACAACTCAGAGAGGTAGACAGAGCTCAACTAATATCTTGCTAGGGAAAGTGGGTGGAGCTTAGTAAGGCCTGATGGCTAGATGGCAGGTGTGGTCGTTTGTGGCAAAGTTGTTTGGGTGCCATGACTTCTTACCTTCTATCCTGCTAAGAATTCTGTATTTCCAGGTTGAATGCCCTGGGCTCTGCTAGCTGAGATCCTTTTAGAGGCAGGTCTAGGGGAGTTCAGAGGAAGCCTCTCCCTGCATTTGTGCCTCCCTTCCCACGTGCCCCATCCCCACCCCAGCCCACTGTTGAAAATAGAATACTATTGATGCTCAGCAGATTTCTCAGTATTCTCTGGGAAGGGCCTTGTGTGTACATATAGTAAACCACCAACTCTAGATTCTAAATTTAATGACATGAATTTATTCTTTTATAAAAGAAGACATGTCTTTCTCTGACCTGGCAGCCTTCCACCTTTTGTCTCTCTGCCTTAAATAATCTCTGTCTACATCTTTCAGAGGGATGCAGATATCTAATTAGAAGGTGTAGATGATTAAAATGCCTGATATAGAAACTGTTGTTTCTCACTAAGTGAGTTAGTTTCTGTGCTAAGTATTACTTGCATGTTGACTGATCACTGCAGTTAGTAGGGTACATTTTGTAATGTGTTTTGAGGATCTTGTGCCTTTAATAATTGTTGAGCAAACAAATATATTTTATTTGAGCCAAATCTTAAATTGTGTATACTCAGATTTATAAACAATTTAAGAGTGCTTAACTCTGTTGGCAGCTAAATCGTTTTGTCCCCCAAAGGCTGTGCATCCAGTTTTTCTGGAATAGTCTGTGTTTGAAGATGACTTGGGGAATGATAGCTACTCTAAAACAGAGTTTTGCAGACTGAAGGAATACTGTTTCAAAGTTTAAAAAGCAAGGAGAGAGCAGCATGAGGAGGGAGGTGGGTACTTGGGCGGCAGCGCCCTGGGGTGGTCCTGCTGCTTGTGGAGAGCCCTGATGTTGCCACACAAAAGACAAGTTATTACTTAGAAAAAAGAAAGAAAAACATTCTTATAGTTAGAGGGCTTCTATATTTAAAAGTAAATATAGAACAATTTGAAGGTTGTCAAATACTTGGGTGGTATTTTTTTTTTGGGTGATATTTTTCATGGAAGGTCAGTTTATGATTTTTTTATTTTGATATATTTTCCAAATGCATTACATGTGTATATATATATATATATATATATATATATATATTAAAGACTTATTTATTTGTGCATACAGAACTGGGGTACAGGCCAGAGGCTCAGGGGTGGTGAGAGGCTTCACCAGAGACAGAGTGGGGAGCAGAAAGGGCAGATCGACGAAGTACACTGCTGAGGGGAGCAGCGGGCGGGTCAGGAGAGGTCTGCCACGCCATGTGGTCACCTCCGGGGCGGGGATGGAACTCATGCGGAAGTGGCTTTAGCTTCTCAGTGCTGTGCTTTAACCCGCTGCGCCACCAGGGAGGGCCCCACATGTATATATTTTTATCACGAAAATATTTTGAATGTTTAAGAAAGGAGAAAAGGAAGAAAAAAGAAATGTAAAGATATATAAAATCTGTCAGCATAATTCATTATGTGAGTGATATAGAGAAGAAAATAAGATACTACCAGCTGACAAACTGCGAGTCTAGCAGTCATTCTTCATACGCTTTAGAAGGGTCACTACCTAAACAAAAGTGAAGCCATCAAAAAATTAAAGGTCAGGTTATGTTAAGTAGTAAAATACACAAGGCATTTCCACTAAAATTAGGATGCTTATTATTAGCTTTATTTAACATTGCTTTTGAGACATTATCTTAATACAGTGCGGTAGGAGAATGAAAACAGTATAATTTTAGAAAGAACCACTCATAAAGGCGTGTAACTGGCCCTTCATGCTTCTGTTTTAGATAACCAGTTTGGGGGCTTTTTTGTGTGTTGATTTTGACTGGGGTCAACCCCTCCAGGGTAGCCCCCGAAGTAGCACACCCGCCACCTTAGTCCTCCACTGGAGTCCACACCACCTGTGCTTAATGGCCCCTTCCAGTTCCTGTCGGACCAGCACTGTGGATGGCAAGTGCCCTTTACTGGGTGTTATGGGCTGGCACTGTGTTCCTGGGTCTGAAGAAACGGCCCTCCAGACTGGGCCGGTAGCGTCTGCACAGCTCTTAAGCACGCTCTGCCCGGCTGCAGTGCCCTTGTTCACTCATTTCCTGGACGCAGGCGGACTCGTGAGCACACAGGCCCCCTGCTTATTGCTGCTAGCCTTCTAAGCCTGGATGGGAATCCTGGGCGTCCACACGCCCTACGGTAGCCCTGCAGCTCCTGTAGTGATTTCCGCAGGGTGGGCCCCATACAGGCATCATCGGTCGGGTTTCTAGTGACGACCTGCCTGGCTGTGGCCAGGCCGTTGGCCACTGCTCACTTCTGTCACTGCAGGAAAGAGCATGCGGTGCAGCCCTCGGGCTGGTTTTTTCACCACCTCTATCGGAACTTTGGCTTCCCAAAGAGCATGTAGTCTGTTTGCTGTGGAATTGCTGTCCACTAGCTAAGCAGCTATTTGTTGGGGGTTTCTTTATAGGATGCTGTTCAAGTGATAGGAGAATCAGTGGCTCCTCACACAGTTCCGGAGTCAGGCCTAAGGGTAGATCGGCTCCCTGCGCCTGAGTGTCCCTGCATTCACCAGACAGCATGGTCCTTTGTAAGCCATTCCCATTGTACTGGGGGCACTCTGGGCAGTGCCCTGCCCTTTACAGTTTCTAGACCTCGTCTACATTCCTAGTAGTCGCCACTAGGTGGCGCTCACAGCTCTGCCGTAAACACCGGCCTGGCCCCTGGTCTCTGCTTAGCATGTCTGATTACAATTGCTTAAATGGCAGATTTACTTACCCTCTGTCGGTGGTAGGCAGGGAGACTCCCTCAGTCATACCAGTTCCCACCTGCAATACAATCAGGTAAAATTGACAGAACTTCATATAGTACCTGCTTAATTCCAATTGTTCTGCTGTCAACCCCTTTACAGTTTCTCATTCTATTTGCGATTCAGGTCAGGGTTTCAGCAGTGGGTTTTGGTACCCCAGATGAAATATATCAACTGTACCCTTTCATTCTTGAGTGATAGGTCCCCAGCCAGGGATGGAGCTGAGGGGCCCAGGCCCTTTTGTGGATCCGTAACCTGGTTAACTCCTGACTAACCACTGCTCCAGCAGTTGCTGGCTAGGTTTCTCAGTTATCTCATGCTTATGGTTTTTCCAAGTGGAAATAGAGGTGGTTGGTTTGGGATTCTTCCCATTCTCCTGTTAGCTAACCTCCTGTGTCTATTAGCATCTGTGAGATCCGCGAGGGGGAAGCTTAGAATGCAAACTGGAAGAGGCTCTGGTGCTGGCTTTTGTTTTTGCAACAGTAAAGTTGCATGAGGGGCCCTGTGAAGAGGGGTCCGCTTAAACACAGCATTTACCATGACTGGGTAGCGCTCAGCAGCCAACATGCTGCTCAGCTAAACCCGAGCCCTCAAGACTGGAGTGTGAAGCACGCCAGCGGCTGCGTGTGGGCTGTCCCACTGGGCCATGCACAGGTGTGCTTGGGCCGCCTTCGTTCTCGCGTCACACACAGTGATGACATTTTAAAAAAGATTTATTTATTTATGCATATAGAACCAGGGTACAGGCTCAAGCCCCCCCCCCCCAACGCCTTTCTATCAGTTCTCTAGAGTCTAATTCCCCATGCCTCCAAACTGTATCTGGTCCTGTTAGTGTGCAGGCTGAGGGGTACCCCCCAAACTTGCACACTCTGAATGGATTCTGCTATCAGCAGCTTAAACACGAAGCGTTCTAGTGTGGAAGAATGAATAGAGTTACTGTGTATAGAGAGAGTATAGAGAGAGGAGACGAGAAAGGATGTGTTTCCCAGTAGTGGGTAAATGTGCAGCCAGACAGGGGTGGCCCACAGCAGGGCCGTGAGGCTCGAAAGCTTGCCACAAGTCTAGGCCACCTCTGGGGGGAGACCTTTGGGGGGGAGGGAGAAGGGGTCAGGCAAGGCTGGGTGAGAGGAGCAAAATCCCAGTAGAGATCAAGTTAAATGCTGCTAAAGCCGAGAAGGCTGCAGTTCTCCCTCAGGGTCTGCCCCAGGAGTCTCCTTCAAGCCTTCTCTTGCCCTGGCCACGCTGCCTCACCCTTTGCTAGGTGGGACAGGGGTCGTGAACCTCCATTTTTAGATTACACTGTTGGTCCTACTGTGCACCATCCGGGGAAAAAAAACAAGGCGTTGGTATTGCCCTCAGCCACTGTCTACTTGGCTTTTTTATTTTTTTGAATTTCTGGTGACTTCTATCCAGTCCTCCACACTGACCTTCCCTTGGCAAGAACCCGTGTGTCTGTGCCACCATCCGATAGCTCTCTGTGTGCAGCGTCAAAGCAGGCATGCCCTTCCTCTCTGCTGCCGCCGACTGAAGACAGACCCCACAAGAGTCGCACTCACAATCCGTTTTCTATGTTTTCCTCCGGAGGCGGGTGATACTGGCCTGCACAATTTGTGAACTCCTTCACGCTGGCCCTGGGGTTCCAGTAGCTCCTCGGTCTCGCCCTCCCTCTCCTCTGACTCTTAGTGACCAGAAGACTTAAAGGGCCTTTGTTTTCCCCTTTTGAGACAACTTTGAGGCTAATGCTGAAACTCGGATAGACTAAAGTCAGCCTCGTTCAACCTAAGGCCCACCCCAGCTAACAGCCACTGGGGGTGAGTAGTTTGCCATTTTCTTATTGGTGCTTCCTTACACAGCAACTCAGCCCACCCTCGGGAGCTGTGTGTTGTCAGCTCCAAGGCCCACGTGTCTCTTGGCCGTAGTGAGCGCGGCCGCAGCGGTGTAACGCGGGTGGGTAGGTAGCCACCCGGGGTCTGTCCTCATTCTTGCACCCTCATCTGGTTCTGTCCCAAACATGTTTCTGTGAGCCAGGGCCCTGCTAACACAGCCAACAGTGTAAGACCCCTAAGACTAGTATCTAACGGGGGTATCTGGAGGCTCCCTCACCCTCAGCCATTCTTACACTACTGCCTGGAGACAACATTAAATCCCACAGCTTATGGTGGTTCGGTCCCCCCACTTTAGATGCCAGCAGCAAGCCTGGATCTGGGCAAGAATTCCAGCTGTTAACCGCTGTACTGTACTCGTCAGGACTCCTTTGCGGGAGCTGGTATTTCTTACATGCCTTTATTAGCAGCAGTGTTAGAATTAAACTGAAGGAGAATAATGTGCAGGTAAAGTGCAACAACAAATCACTATACAGTGCAACTATCCACTCCTTATTATAAAAGACCAAGTAGCAGTAAAAGAAAAAAAGAGTTATGGATGAACTTGGCTTTCAGATTGCTCCAGGTGAACCTCCTGACTCCATTGCTCCACTGGTGTCCTTGGGCAAATGATAGACTCTCGGGTTTGTTTCTTCATTTGTAACATGGGAAGTAGCGTTCCTGTGGAGTTGCTTCAGTCACTGACAACGCTGTACAGCCTGTAGTGGCACTGAATGCCGGCGGCCCCACGCATGCGCAGGAGGAGGCTTAGTCCTGTGGCAGGTGCAGTCTTGCACGTGGCAGTGTGCATTTCCCTCTTTGTAGCTGTGGATCGGTTGGCTTACTGCTGTCTTGTCCTTTTGTCTCTGGAAGGTTCTAATAGAAGACTGTATTCCAGTACTGAAGAGGTACGCCAAAGAAGGGAGGGAGTTTGACTATGTGATTAATGATTTGACTGCTGTTCCGATCTCCACATCTCCAGAAGAAGGTAGGTTCTTGCTTGTATTAGTTTGAACCAAGATACTGTCCTCAGAGATGTTTCTCTTGGCACCACGCGAGGAAGAAAGGATCTTAGATGCCTAGTTAAGTTCTTTCATTTTTTTAAAGGTAGCTAAGCTGAGGCCCTGGGGAAAGATGACCGGATTTGGCATGTTCTGCCTCTCAGAGAGCAAATTAGCAGTCACTTGAAACATTAAATATGATGACTCATAATCAGATCACTGAGACATTAGCTCCTTTGAAATTTTTAAACTGCCTGATACAAACTAGCGATCCTTCTAAGCAATGTAGGAGACATTCTTCCTGCTGAGTTTGGGGCCCCCACCTGCTGGCATGCAGAAGTTGCTGCTTTCTCCCTTATTGAAGCTGGTGTCCTACAGGTTTCCGCCACCGACTTTGCGGGGAATCTTTATTGATGTCATGAGGACAGTGCTAAATGGATGTGCGTCTGGTTTTGACTGTGTGTGTATGCGCGCATGTGTGTGTGTGTCTGTCCATCCCTCCATCCGTGTGTCCATGACACCTACTGACAGTACAGCATAGTTCATGAATAAGCTCAAATATTGGGTCTAAAGCTCATAATTCTTTTTTGGGTATCATTGAAGTAATAGCATGAATGTTTGACTTTGTGTTTCTGATGCATGACATCCTTTATCTATGAGGCTTAAATTTTTTTTTAATCCAGATTCCACATGGGAATTTCTCAGACTGATTCTCGACCTCTCAATGAAAGTACTGAAACAGGATGGGAAATATTTTACACAGGTAGGCTACCCATTTTTCTCCCCAGCTCAAATTTTATAACTTTGTAGAGTAATTCTTTAAGGATAGAAAAGTATAATTGGAGTATGTTCTTTCCGGCGGTAGGTTTTGTGGTAAGTGAGTTGCCTGTTGTCTGTTGGGACTCAGTGATTCCTATTATGTCCGGTTACCACAACCCTCAGGTTTACTAGCCCTGGGCTTTGACTGTAGTATGAGTTGTGGCCACCAGATGGAGACAGAGATCGCGTTTCCCCCCTCTTCCTGCTTCCCCATCATCTTCTAGCCAATTTACAAATCCCCATGTGATAAATGCTTTAGCTGCAGTATGGGCTCCTGCCACGAGGTGGAAACAAGGTGCAGTGCACTCTCATTCAGGGATCGCTGTGTTGAAACAAAGTTTGAAGTTTGTCTTTCTTAATAGGTTATTTGTAAAATGTTCAACATCCAGAACAAAATTCTAAAAATATGAGCAAAAGGCTTAAGTGATGATGCAGTCTAACCACTTATTTTTTAAAAATCCACTGATACATAGAAAACAAGCACTTATGTAGAAGTTCACTTTGGTCCCTGTGATAATTCTTCAGTTTTCATGAGAATCCCGCCTTTCCTCTTCACTCCCGAACTTTTTTTTTTATTTAATGTATTAGTATTTTAAATGTCAAACTAGTAGAGAGGTCTGGTTTACTTTTAACCAGATGCTGTATAGTTTATGAGATCTATGGTTAATAATGCTGAAAACATCCAGCACATCTGAGAGATACCTTGAATTAGTCTCCATCTCGTCCTGTTTTTCTCCTCTTCCCCTGCCTGTAGGAACACCCACCCAAGCCTGGCAATTAATTGAAGGCCTTGCTAGGGAGCTGTAAGGGAACAGACAATTGTCTATGAATGTATCCTTTTTTCTGTTTGGAAGCTTGGGGGACACATTCTAGATGACTCTTTAAGGCAGGGATCTGCAAAGTATAGGCCAAATCTAAGCTGCTTGCTTTTGGAAGGTTCCACTGGCACAAGGCCACAGCTGTTCTGAATCGTCTTCCGGGGCTGTTTCCCTGCTGCGTGGCTGCCCGTATAGTGGTGATGGGACATTTTCTGTTCTGCTCTTTGGAGAAATGTTTGCTGATCACACTTTACAGGAAGCCCACAGTGAAACCTGCTCAAAGTCCCCTTATTCATGTAAAACAACCTGAGTTGGGGCCTTGAGTTTTTCCATGAGTGGCCAATTCTGAAGCCGAACATGCCCATACAGTTTGCAAATAGAAGGCAATCCCATGCGGCTCAAGTTGGGGAAGTTGGTAGGGCTCTGGGATCTTTAACCCGGAGAGGATGAGAATGATCTGGCTTCGTGCAAACCAGTTGTAGTGGACACCAGTGAGTCCGGAGGGCGGTGTGATTGCTCTTAGCTGTATTGAAAGACATGTTTGCCCTGCAGCTCGAGACCTGGGTGCCACGGCCCGCCCGGCTGCCCCAGCGTGGCCTGCAGGAGGAGCCGTCCCTGCTGTGAACGTGCCCCCTTTCCCGGGCTGTTCTTTATAGATTGTTCACATGTGTGACTTCCAATTCATAGCATAGGCTTCTGCTGATTTAGAACCTGGTAAAAGTCATATCTTTCAGGATATAGTCTACTGGATCTGCTTTATGTTTAAGAGCTACAAATAACAGAAATCTATTAGGGCGAGCTTTCTAGAATGGAAGCTACTGAGTTGGGGTTCACCCTCAGGAGTTGCTCTCCTCCTTGCCATGTTATTCCCTGTGTAGGTACTGAATTCTTTGCTACTTGGCTTGTGCTGAATCACCCCACAAGTCACTGTTAGGAAAAATGTAGCTCCATTTAAGTAAATACACGGCAATGTGAAAAGTAGCTTGTTACTTTTTTGGGGTAGGTCTCTATTTGTGCTGAGCGTCTTTGTTCCGTTTCAAAATTGCTTTCTGACAGTGTTGGGGAAGAACTAATCAAAGCTTCCTGCTTCCTTGCCACAGTGTCTGAAGAGGCCCTCCCTTGTGCCGCTATAAAAAGGTGCTGCCACCTTGATGGTGGCGAGGAAAACCAGGGAACGGTGCGCCTGGCCGCACTGCCAGTCTGTCGCTCCTCTGGAGCTGTGCGCTCTAAACACAGACGGGTGGTGTTTTCTATTTGTGAATCTTAAATTACACATGTGGTGTTTACATACTCTCATGGTGAACTTGATGTTGAAACCAAATTATATGCTGGGGAAGGGCCCTTTGGCCAAATCCACTGCAGGATGATGGGTTACTAAACAGGTTGGCGCTGAAGGCTGCGTCATGCTGCGTGAACATGCTAAGTTAAAGCCGCTGAGAGGAGGCAGCTCTCGGAATGGCTCTCCCCGCGCTCGCCGTGGCCGGTTGGCCGGCTGGGTTGGTGCTTTTGAAATGCCATTCCCAGGAGTGTTTGCATCACAGGTTATGGTATCAGTAAATAGTTATCATTGTACATTGGACTTGGCTATTTTGAGGCGACTCAGTAGTGAAATTCTTGGAAGGAATAGAATGAGCTCAAAGTTTTTGAACATTGAGAACGTCAGAAGTTAAAAGGAAATAGGTAGCATTAAATAACATTCTTTTAAATCTGTTACGAAAAGCACTCGGGAAATGATTTTGCCAAAACGAGGACAAACTCGCCCAGCCCTACTGACTGCGAGTCTGCGTTGTAAGATCTGCTGTGGCCCGTATGCGCGGGGCATTGAGAGGCAGCACTTCTAGAGCGGGGCAGATGTGGAATCCTCTCCATTCTTCTGTCTCTCCACCAGCTGCCGACTCTTCCCCTTTTCCTCTTTGTGGTCACAGAGTGGCTGCCGCAGCTCCAGCGCCAAGTGTCACATCTGGGTTTTAAGCGAGAAGAAAGTTGAAGGGGTGGGTCACTGTTTATCCTGAGCGTCCAGAAGAAGACAGTGCTCTCAGCAGATTCCCACTATCTCTTTGCCGGGCACTGAAAAGTGGTGGCCAGATAGGGAGGAAATTAGTCGCTGAAGCTGAGAGAAAGGATTTGGTAAGGAAGGAGTGAAAGTGGGGGATCGCCTTAGTGTGTCCTGAATACATTTTTCTCTTCTTATGCCTTAAAGTAAATGATGGACTTTGGGGGAAAGTACAGGGTGATAAGGATTGGTCCTATGTCAACATTTTAGATTCTTCAGAGGGTCATAATGTGAGGCATTCTGGAAATCAAGAACATTATCTTTTTGATGCTTCATTCTTGGCACAATCGTGGCTGTTATTGGAAAAACCGATTTTGAATGGGTTATGTATGAATCTTTGCTAATTGCGTGCTGTTGATACAATGACTGTGTCACTAATGAGAAATTGGTCTCGCTGCTTTCTATTGCTTCATACTCCAATAATTTGAAATGGCTTGGTAAATGAGGTGGAAGGATAATGAGCTAATGGATCTATAAATAGAATCCAGTGCAATTTGTGAAAGTGCAGAAGCCTTATCTCATTTTCAGAGGTGAACTTTTCTTCACAGCTAGACTTGTTCCTGCTCAGTGGAGACCACCAAGGGAGCGGCCCTTAGCGGCGCCGTTGACTCCACTGTTGGCTTTTCTCTCTTTGATTTAGGGAAACTGTGTCAATTTGACTGAAGCCCTGTCGCTCTACGAAGAACAGCTCGGACACCTGTATTGTCCTGTGGAATTCTCCAAGGAGATCGTCTGTGTCCCTTCCTACTTGGAATTGTATCCTTTGACGGTAGTGAGGTGCCGCCACCATCGCGCCACATCACTCACCATCGAGCTCAGCGAGTCCCAGGCTGTTGTGGCATTTTGAGTGGCAAGAAGAAATAGCATTTGCTTGCTGGCATAGAAGGCCCTGTTTTCCTTTCAAATGTGGCTGCACATTGGAGCCCTTGGGAGCTTTAAAACAACCTGCAGGCTCCCGTCTGAGCCTCCGGGAGTCAGCTCCCCGGGAGCTGTCCGTGGGCAGCAGCATCCCACGGCTGCGCGCCCCCTGGCCCCAGGTGCACACTGGAAGTCCCTCGCAGGCTGGCAAACGCGTTTGGGGGAGGCCTGTGCTTGAATCAGCTGCTCTTACTCCTTGACGCCCTGTCCAGGTGGGTGTTCTACACTGTTTGGAAGAAGGCTAACCCCTGAAGAGCGCTTCGCTCCAGTCATGCGCTGCCGACAGTCTTCCTGGCCCTCACGCCGTTCGCGACATCGACACCAGTCAGGCAATTGATTGTGAATTCCTTCCAGTTTTCTTTTTTTTAATTATTATTTTTAATTTAAAAAAGCAAATGGAAAATGTATATTTTGATGAGCTAGGGTGTTATTTTTTGAAAGTCAGCTGAAGGATGATTAGACACCACAGCGAAAGCTGCTAAATGCACTGAACCCTAGAATGTGATTTTTGTTATTTTTTTTTCTGTATGGGCTTTTTTTTTTTTCCTTTTTCTTTTTTTGTTCGTTTGTTTGTTTGGTAGCCTTTCAATTTGCTTGTTTGGAGGAATGGACATCATTGTTTTTATTCTGGAGGGAAGTTCTTGTTGGTGTTTCTTTCCCAAAAATTGACTAGAGATTAAAATTTGGTGCTTACAAGGAAGAGTTAAAAAAAATGAATACCAATGAATCAATTAAAATCACAAAAGAGATTGTGTGTGTCTGCTGTTTTATTTCAGTCCATTCCCCTCCCTATCACTGCTGGTCGCACAGAACAAAGGCGTCTCCTGGTCTTTTTTCAGTTCGGTGATATCACTCAGTGCCATTTATCTCTTTATAATAGGATGGCCTTAAGGCCTTTTTTGAACAGAAGTAATGACTTCATTTACCACTGGAGGTAAATGATACACAGGCTATTACATCTACCAGTTCTTCATTACAGAATTGACCCGAGGATAGGAAAAGATCTGGCCTCACTACAAAGTTGAAAGTCAAAAGCTTATTTCTACTCCCACTCTACCTGCGTATTAGGTGTGGAATAGAAATCAGTTTGGATAGCTGCTGTGAACTTCTGGGGAAGATGTTTGGGTGCAGAGAGAGAAAGTTGGTGGCAGGAGCCATGACTAGCACCTCGAGCGGGAGGAAGTGTATGTAACTGACGACATGGAAGTGCCTTGTGAGGACACTCCACATCAAGGTCGAGTTGTCAGATACCACTGGACATTGTTTCTAGAAAAGGTTTATGCTTTATCAATGGGATGGGTACATTTATGGTGAATTTGCACTAAGTAAAGCCTTAAAAACAAAATATTCAGTATCTGCTTTGAGAAGAATGTCTGTCAATTCAGAGCATTCTTCCTGCCATGATAGGCTCTCAGTGAGATAGATACCCTTCAAAAATGAGTGTGTCTATGTCATCTCCCCCCAACTTTTTTTTTTACTGACCTAGCACAGGAGAAGAAACAACATGTGTAAGAGGAGTTAGTCATGTGAAAGCTAGACAGGCTTTCAACAAATTGGTAAATGTGAAGAATCTACCCACTTGGAGGTTTTTTGTTTTTTTTTTTTTTTTTTTTTTTTTTTATCATGCTTTGCAAGGGCTCTGTGTGCTGTGAGATTGAAAACAATGGTCTCTGACTGTTAGTATACCATTTTGGGGGTAGAATGTTTTCCACTTTGGAAAAGATGTCTGGACATGGTGTTATTTTTAGGCATAACTTTATACTTGAAGACTAGCTTCATGCCAAGGCTAGATCCACAGGTAAATCTGGTGACAAATAGGTCCTGCCTGCCCAGAGCCAAAAGTGAGAAGAGGTGAATCAGGTTGCGCCATGCCAGGTGACATATTCGGGAATGGGTAAGGCTATGGGAAGAAGGGAAGGCAATGTTTTCATTTGGGGCGATGCTGAATCCTGACTACTCATTCCGTTGCATTGGAGAAAGGATGCTACCTGTCTTGCATTTCTCTTTGTAATTATTTTAAATGAAAGTCATGTAAGTTGAACACAAAAAGCAGCTGCAAGCTGTGGACATGTTCTAGGAGCTAGGTATTGCTGTTTTACTTAAATGGCTATCATGTCAGAATGTCATGGCCTCCTTTTTGTTTAAAATAGTATGTCCTATTATATATCTACTTTTTAATTAAAGACAAGTCACATAGTTGTTTAACTTCTGTTCACCATTATCAGATCTCAAGACTAAGCTTATGACTCGGAGACATGCTATTTTCCCAGTTCCATTTATCAAATCCCACCTGGGTCCATTATAGATCATGCTTTAATATATGTGGGGGTGCGTTTCGGGGCTCTGCATTCTGGTGTATTGGTCTTTGGGTGTCTTTGCACCACTGCATTGCTATCTTAATCGTGATAATTGAAAAAAATCTAGAAAGCAAAAAGAAGGAAAGGCTGCTTTTTACTGACTATTCTTTAATAACTTACTTAATGGTGATTAAGTGCTGGGGGAAATCTGGCTCGGCAGTGTTATTTTACTCGGTGAGGCCAGTGCTGATGTCAGAATAAAAGGCTTCACTGCTACTTCCTGTGCAGCCAAACAGCCGCGTCCTTGCCCTAACTGGTGTGACATCAGGGCTTGTGTTTGTCTCAAGCATTTGATAAATTTAATTTCTTAGCCTGTGACTCGGTGGCTTTGTGTGAGAGAGAAGGTGTGTGAGTGGAGATGTGTGTGAGAGAGAAGGTGTGTGAGTGGAGATGTGTGTGAGAGAGAAGGTGTGTGAGTGGAGATGTGTGTGAGAGAGGGCGACTGCGCACGGCCTGTATGGACAGTGCCGGTGCTGACCAGCTGCCATCCTCCAGCCGTTCTTTGCATTCCAAGTGTTTTGTTTTCTTCACCAACCACCCCTGACCCCAGCAGTATTTTCTCTGAAGGAGCAAAGTGTTGATCGGCTTGGCAGCAGTCTTCGCCTGGTCTTGGAGGAGCATCGTGAGTAGCACTGTGGTGGACACCAGCCCGCCAAGGTCACTCGGGGCCTGCTGGCGTAGCCTGCTGCTGGTTATTAGATTCCGGCTGCTATGTGGCCTTTGGAAACGACCCACTGTCACGATTGCTGAATGTGTTTTCGGCTCACGCAGTCTTTACATTGTCATCCTTTGGGTTAATAAACCACTTTATTTTATTTGCATCATCTTGTTCAGTCAAAATAGCTTTGTAAATTAGATGTTCGTGTCACTGGCTTTGGCCTGCAGTCAAAATTTGACATGTACTGGGAGGTCCCATGGCTGATGATACATTAGATCTTTTGCTAGTTACAATTTTGATTCCTTCCAGTATTCTGAATTTTGTAGGTGAAAGCCTGCATCATGGCTCCTTAAATGATGTCATCCTTAGACGCCTTTGGCAGCCTGCTGAATGAAACCTGTCGCCCCTCCTCAGACACGCGTTTCTTAATACGCGGCATGATTACAACGAAACCTATTTTTTCAAAAATGTATGATTAACTGTGTATTTTACTGATTTACTCCATAGCTGCATCTAGTGATGGATCCAACACCCTATTTCTGAAGTCATGATGAGCACGAATTGCAGCAACTAAGATGCACTAAGAACACATCAGATTCCTCTTGTATAGCAATGGCCGTTGCTAACATGGTTTGACACTCAATGTTCATGCTGAAAGAATATGCTAGATTTCACTAGAGGTCAGTGAAAATAAAGATAAGAATGTTTTCCCGGCCCACCCTGGTGGCGCAACGGGTTAAAGCACAGCACTAAGAAGCTAAAGCCACTTCCGCATCAGTTCGATCTCCAGTTCGATCCCCGCCTGCCCCGAAGGAGATCCACATGGCGAGGCAGACCTCTCCTGACCCGCCCGCTGCTCCCCTCAGCAGTGTACTTCGTTGATCTGCCTGTTCTGCTCCCCATTCTGTCTCTGGTGAATCCTTTCACCCTCCGCATCTCTGGCCTGCACCCCTGTTCTATATGAATAAATAAATAAATCTTTAAAAAAAATGTTTTCCCACCCAAGTTCGGGGACCCAGAACTCCATGGTAAAGAACCTATGGTTTTTGTTTCCCTGTTTGTAGGTGCTGGGGAAGGGGAGCTGGGTCCCTTTAACCTTCTGTCAGAATCTCAAATCAATGCTGGCAGATCAGTTCTTTTCGGCCAGAACCATTTAAAATCCCAATTACTCAGTGCGGTCATTCCACTGATTTCTGCTTTACTCATTATTTCAAAAATGAGAAGGAGAACGTGGCAAGAAGTCGTCTGGTGCTTTTGGAAAGCGGGTTGAATACTCTTGGACGTGATTTCCCTGGACAATCAGATGATAAATGTGGCTGGACAGGTGTGCTTATCTCCTATGTCCAGGGGTCCGTGCTGAAGACAGCCTGGCTGGTGCATTGACGCAGCCAGTGCCCCAGGCTGTCCAAGCAAACCCTTTGTGGGGGAGCACGGGGGAAGCTGCACCCCCACTTGGGCCCCTTTGCCCAGGAATGGAATGACGTAAATGAGTCAGGGGTGCTGCGGGCCAAACCGGCCAGGTCTGGTGGACAAAAACCCAGCAATATGCAGAGAGCGGGCCCTGGGAGGTTGCCGCACCCCGTTACCCAGAAATGGAAGCCCGTGGTAGTAAAGACTGGCTGTGATGCTGGGTTTGACCCTGGACTTAGTAACTAGAGCTGGGTTCTGGTTCCATGCAGAAATCCTTTTGTGCTGATGGAGCTCTAGGGCAGCTTCACATCTTCATCGATCACCGTGTTGCTAACTTGGGCTTTCGCTAAGTGCTCCTGACAGCTTCATGTTTATTGTGGAGAGAGAGGCTCCTTCAGTTGCAATCCATGTCCTCTGCTTTCTGGCCAGTTCAGGCTTTGCCGGCTTTCAGTGGTCTCAGTTAAATCTGGTAGCTGAAATGCCCCCTCTGGCACCCTCCCGACGCCGAGGGAAGCTTCTTCATTGCTCCTGCCTCACACCAGGGTCGGAGGTGGAAGGCCTCAGTACCACCCATAAGTACTCGGAAAACTTTTAAACGATGTTCAATTAAAGCAAGTCCTCAACTAATGTTATTTCATTCAGCATTGGCCTGTATGGCTCAAGTATGAGGAGATGACATTGAACAAAATGTTACTTGAGGAGCCTGATATATTTCAGTTTTATTTGGCTTCATTCCCTATGTATTATCCACACATGTTTAAATGTTTAATGTGTAATGAGACAGCGACTCTGCTGGGAAGAGAACACACCTGAGTTTGTTTTCTAAATTGGGCACGTAACACCTGGAGGCACTGAAGCGGCCTGGGGGTAGGCTAAGCAAGACTTGGGTGGGGGGTGGGGGAGCCCGGCCGGAGCCCAGCAACAGCTAGAATGTAAGCTCCGAAGGCTCCACTGGGTCCCCCGGCTTGCGCGTGTTGGGGTCGGTTGCCTCGCACGTGTCGGAGGCACCTTCTGTGGAAGGGTCATGTTCTCTGGAAAAGGGAATGCTTAAAACTGCATTTTCCTCCACGTTGAACGTGGAAGAAAGAGGCGAGTGTGAAGAAACTTCACAGGAACGGGCCTGTTCAAGAAAGAAGTCTATGATGATCAGGGGAAATGCAGGGTCACCCCCCTCCCTAGTGAGGACATGGTCCCCATGTTGGCAAAAGCACTGGACTGGTGAAGGGAGCCCTCTTCACCCTCTCGGGGTCCTTCCTGGGGTCCTCAGGGGCTGAAGAGAAGCAGAAATCAGGAAAGTGTGCAGCGTTCCCACCAGAACACTGGA